CTCTAGGTTTCTCTAAGCTTCATCTATGAATCAATTTAAAGCACGCTGGCTTTTACCAAGGGCCAATATAAGAAACAGCCATATAAAAAGCCTGCCCAGACAAATGAATTAAGATGACAGAGTGAAGCAGAATTTCTCTCCCCTATCCCTAATGCAATGAAAAATGCATGCCCTGTTGTTTTAACGCTCCAAATTCACCACCAACCAAGCAAGAAAACAGGAAACTATGCTATTAACTTCAAGGGGACAGGGAGACACACACACACACACACACACAATTCTGGTACTACACACAGTGTGGTATGGCTCCTGCCCTTAACCCAATCCCAGAAGTAGTACAGACCAAGGAAGGTAAGTCAACAAAATCCTTTAGGCAATAAGACCTGCAAGGTAAGTGAGCAGACTGAGGAAACCCTCTTGTGAATAGGAGCCCAGCAGGACTCTGGCAAAGGAAGAACCAGCTGCTAAAGCCTACTGTCGTTCACAGGAACTGTGCTGAGATGGCTGAGGGAGTCAAAGCCCAAGGGAGCTGGCATGCCCACATGGTAGAGGATCGGTAACAGTATCTCAGAAGAGAAAGCAGAGGTACTAAATGAGGGCTATACTCAGCCTCACTGAGCTCATTCACTTCCCTTATCACAGCCTACAGAAAAGACTGAAAGGAGAACCCAATTATTAGACTGTAGCTTGAGGGGAGGAGGACTGGTCATAAATAAGGCAGGAAAGGTAAGAAGATTCACTCTCACTATATCAGAAAGAAGTTGTCAACAAAGCTATACATATTAAGATGAAAAGAAATGCTGTGGCTACAATGGAAACATAAATAGCATGCCCCCCCCGCCAAAAAAAGCATATAAAAGATAAACAAACTCTGTGGACGAAAGTAGAACACAAAGGACAGAGGCAGATTCTCCACAAGTATCTACATATAGTCATAGAAAAAAGTCTTAAGGATGAACTTCACAAAACAAGAAAAGCTTGGAGATGAGATACACAGATTGAGATGAACACAGATTGTAGAGATAAACAAAATAACAAAATACCACTAACAGATTTAATTTAAAATAGCAAGGAATTTCAAGAATTGCAAAATTTAGATAACCTATCATTTCTTCCACTTCAGACACACTACATTTGTATAGGCAGGCGAGCAGGATGATTTTGAGCTTGGCCTCTGAATCCAGATTGCCTGGATTGAAATCTCAGCCCTGCCCCATATTAATGGTGTGACCTGGGACAATTTACTTAACTTAAAGCAGAAAAGGTATGGTAAAGATTAAATGAGCTGACTCACATGAAGTACTTAGAATAGGACCTGGCACAGAGTAAGAGCTCAATATTAACTGTCATTATCATAAACAACTTAATCCATTAACATTAACTGGATGCAAAAAAGCACCAAGGAATTCATCTCTAGTTGTGTAGGTGCTGTCAAGACCATTTAAGTATGTCAGGTGAGCATGTTCAAGCTATGCTCTACAATTAAAGAAAATTAAAGATAGCAAAATCTGTCTGTCCATTCATATAGAAATATTCTTTAGAGCTACCCCCTCTTTTAAGGCTGAAATAAAAACCAAAATTGCTTAATATACAACAGTTCTCAAAGTTTGGTTTTTGAATCAGTAGCATCAGCATCACCTGGTAACTTGTTAGAAATGCAAACTCTCTTTAGTAGGTTCCACCCCAGACCTACTGAATCAGAAACTCTGAGGACGGGACCCAACAATGTGTTTTAAGATGAGCTCCAGGTGATTCTAATGTATGCTAAAGTTTGAAGATCACTGTACTAGATGGTCCTATGATATATACCTCAAATTTAAGAAATACACAGAGATAAATGATTACAAATAACTGTAGGCTAGAAGACTATTCTGTTAAGTGACAGCTGGTATAAGTATATAACCAACATTTTCAAAATATGCATAAATTATATACACAAGCAACCCCAAACTTACAATGAGTTGTTATAGACATTTAATTATATTATTTGGAACTAAGGTCAAACTCCTCCTTTAGAAATAATCTTACATACCCTAGTTAAATTCCTAGCTAAGCAACAAAAGCCTTTTAAACCTATAAACACAGAACAAATGATTTGTTACAGTTAAATATTTTCATGGGTAAAAAATTAACCAAAATTCTAACTCAGATCGTTGGAAAGATTCACTTTTCCTACCACAACCTTAGCAATGAGAGAAGACAGATTTCTTCCCACACTGTGATCAAAATAAACATTTTCCTCTTCCTTTCTGCCCTTCTACCTCTGCAAAAATAGAGACTGGAGTTAGGGGCAGGCACCAGGCACAACTGTGATAGAACAGAGGTACAGGAGAGCTGCGATGGAGATGGCAGAGGGGAAGGGTGACAGCTCTACCACCTGCACATCTTGGTAATAATACTGTCTATGTTTGTGCATATGTTCATGCATATGTCTATGTATAGGACTTCCACAACCTGGATGTTTGGTCTCCTGCTTACAGGTTTTTAATACTTGCAGCCAAAGAAAGAATTTCAGAACAAGAGATCTGAACATCAAGATGTTCAGTTAAAAAGAATAGCATTAGTGGGTGAAGGTAAGATGAGAAAGAGGCTATTTACACTGTCAAAAAAAGTATCTCCCCACAAGATATATATTAGCAACAAAGGAAAAAAAATAATTGTACCCTAGAGAAACCTGGTAGCGCACTACCTTAACTAAGTGATCTATGTTAACATCACCAGTAATGGGACAGATTGACTTCATATGCTTCCCAGTATGAGGCACTGGGAAAGACATGACCCTTTTGTTCTTTGAACAGGCACTACTAACATGACTCATCCCTTTCAGACTATAAGAATTAAAATAATGGAACATCATTATACTTCCTTTTTATATGTTATATAATAAATGATTTGTGTAGTAATAAACTCAGATTTTTAATAATATGGTATCAATGTTAATTTATTGATTTTGATAACTATAGTGGTTTTAAGATTTTGAGAGAGTGAGTGAGACAGAGAACAAGCAGAGGGGAGGGGCAGAGGGAGAAGCAGACTCCCTGCTGAGCAGGGAGCCCGATGCAGGACTTGATCCCAGGACCCTGGGATCATGCCCTGAGCGGAAGGCAGATGCTTAATTGACTGAGCCACCCAGGCGCCCAGCAGATTTCTTTAGAGTACCTTTACACGATGTAAATTTGTGAGCATTTAAAAAAAAAAAGGCATTAAAAGCCAAATCAAATACTTCAGGTGCCAAGGGATTAATATACAACAGCTGATAAATTTTCTGTATAGTCACTGCTGTCAAAAATTAAAATTAGATGCAATCACCAAACTCTGTAGATAACTGTATTTGTGCTTGTAACGATTTGCAGATACTTTTGGCAGCCTTGTTTTTACAATTGAAAATTATGTATTCTTTTCTATTTCAAGACCTTGGGTTAGGCAAAGATCTCTTAGAACACAAAGAAGAAACCATAAAAATACTGCTAAATTGGAATTAATCAAAATTTAAAATTTTGCTTTTCAAAAGACAATTAACATAATGAAAAGGCAAATCAGAGAAATAATAACAAAAGACAACCCAATTAAAATGGGTAGAGATTTGAATAGACATTTCGATAGACGATGATTACAAATGGCAAATAAGAACATGAAAAGATGCTCAACATCACCGATCGTCAGGGAAACATAAAAGCACAATAGGTACCAATACATACCCACTAGAATGACTAAAATTTAAGAGTGACAATAACAAGTGCTGATGAGGATGTGGAACAACTGGAAGTCATATACAGGAATGCAAAATGGTACACACACGTTGGAACAGTTTGGCAAAAAGTTAAACATACACTTACCCATATGGCCCAGCAATCCCATTCCTGGGGAAACAAAAACATATTCCCCCCCAAAAAAAGACTTGTACAGGAATATTCATAGCAGCTTTATTTATAATAGCCCCCAACTAGAAACAACCCCAATGCCCATCAATTGGAGAATGCATAAACTCTGGTATGTGTATCTAATATTGCTCAGCAATAAAGGAACTACTGACACGTGCAACAACTTGGATGAATCTCAAAAGCATTACATGAAAGAAACCAGACAAAAAAGAGTACATTCTATACAATTCCATTTACATGAAGTTCTAGAAAAAGCAAAACCATAGTGACAAAAAGCCTATTAGTGGTTGCCAAGAACCAGCAACGAAGGGACAGAATTCACGGCAAAGGGGCAAGAGGAAACTTTCTGGGGTGATGAAAATATTCTCTATCATGATTGTGGTGGTGGACACACAACTGTATACCTTTGTCAAAACTCATCAAATTGTAAACTTCAAATTGGTGAAGTTTACTGTATGTAAATTATAACTCAAAGTCAATTTTAAAATTTAGTTAATAGCATAAAGGGTTACCCTTAGGGTATTAACTAGAAGGGAATACAAGGGAACTCTGGAGTAGTGTTCTATTTTTTAATCAGGGCAGGGGATACATGGGTGTTTGGTTTGGAAAAAGTCACTGAGGTGTACAATTATGATTTGTTACTTTCTGTACATTTTATTTCAAATAAGTTTACTAGCAAAGAATGCATCCTCAACAGTCTGACTTCATACAAATAATCACAATGATTCAAAATTGCAGCCAAGAAAATAACGGAGTAGAAGAAAAGTAAGGGGGAAAGAAAGCTGAGTTGATCACTAAAATTATAAAGGGATTCAAAAAGCAACCACTTGTCCAAAGTACATTTTCCTATGGGGACTTGACTAATTTCCTATGGGACTTGACTAATTTTCTACCTAAGTGTGTGTGTGTGTGTGTGTGTGTGTGTGTGTGTGTCAGGCGCACACACGCATATATGTGGTTAGGACACAATGGACTTTCCCCAAACCTTACTCAACATAACCTTTTCTTAAATTAAGTTCACTTTTCTTTTTATTTCTAGAGATATGCATAAGACAAATATACATAGAACATTTTCATTCCAAAATTTAGTTTTCTGCTTAGAAGGAAAAAAAATCTTACCTCTTTCATAAATGATTTGCCTATGCGCACCACTTTTGCAAATAAAATGGGATCATGCGAAAGGTGAGGACCAAGGTAACAGAACATATTGAAGACATCTCTCCTCAAATCTTCAAAGCTCTCTGCTTGTTTTGGTGCCCTCTTATTTTGCAAAGCATTAACAGGTGAACCTTTAGCACCTTTAGGAACGCCAACTCTATAAAAAGAAGCAAAATTTGTATGTATACTATACAATACCCCATTTTAAGTTAACACAGTCATATTAATCAATAAGTAAAGCTTTTCTTGCTCAAATTTGATTTCTATATTTCACTTGTGCCTAACTTTATTAATACCAGATAATTTAGCTGGTAGAAAAAGACAAAAACAATACTCATTTGGAAAAAATCAGCGTTCAGAGAATGTTTCAAATTAATTGCATAAGGAAATCAGAGAAACGCATATTTCAAGTAACATTTAACATATATTGTATGAATTTGGTTTTAGTTAAACTTGGCCAGTATCAGGAATTTGGATATGGGAATGGGGAACAAGGGATGGACCTCAGAGACACTGGAAGATGAAACAAAAATATGGATATAACAACAGAGATTCAAGTCAATAAACACTTCTCAATGTGGGTTCCACTACCTAGACTGAGTATGAGGTAGGTGGTGGTAGGGAAGGTGAGCAGCATAATGAAAGAGGGTGTCACACTAAAAAGGACAGCATGCCCAGAGTTCTCACCTGCTGAGCAGGTGTCCCGCTGTGGAGTCACAGGGGTCACTCTTTGAGAAGAAGCCTTCATGGTCCACAGCCCAGGTGGCACTAAAGGCAGCAGCCAGCAGCTATGCACGAGTCACAAGGCTGGGGCTTTTGAGGCAGGCTCTGATCTGTGGGGCTGAAGCCAGAGCTGCTGCCAATACTGCTCCTAAGTATCCTGCAAGTAGGCTGAGGGCTAGAGGACTGGTCGACACAGTAACTAGGGGTGATGAGAAAGGCTGCACTAGCAATTTCCAGAACAGCAGCCTATACGCCAGAAGAGATAAGGCAAGCAGAGAGGCAATGTCCTCACTCAGAGCCACTCAACCCGGGACAGAGGAAATTTACACTAAGTAAAAACCTGAGGAATTCTCTGCCCCCCACCAAGAGAGGAGGAAAAGTCAAAAACAGAAGAAGCATGGAGTTTTCACTCTCTGTGGAGCAAACCCAACCTAGATGTCTAACCTACAGTTTTCCAACTACGCTGCAGCACACCTTCTGCATCACCTGGTCTAGACGTTAGGAGACAAGTCACTGATTAATACATATAAAATTGATACACTCTGTGAATAGTTCTTATCTTCTAATAAAACATAACTAAAATATTTGCTTGGTTGGAGAAGACAAGATAAATATGTAGATTTTTTACTGTAGTCCTAAGCTATTTCTACCTCAATGATTAGAAAAGCATACTGTAACATACCTTCGGTAGAGAGGCTCAATAGTTATGTGAATGAGCTTGCAAATTGCAAGGGCTATTAGCTTATGTGAAGCTGCATAGTATGGAGGCATCTGATCCATAATGTTCTGTGCATGCTGCCAATCACCAATCTTTAACAAGGCTTCCAACAAACCAAGTTTTTGGTTGTCAGGTGGCTAAAAATGAACAATTACAGCAAAGATTCTCAGAATATAGACACCAATAAATCTCAGTATTTTTTCATTTAAAAAAAATTGAGCTCAATAACCATAATAATGTATGTCAACAGCTGCCACTCATGGGAAATGCAATGATATTTCCCTGAAAGTACAATCAAGTTTTTTAGCTACTGAAAAAAACAACAGGATATGCTCTTTCATTTAGCAGACACAGCATGACAGTTTATAGATCTGGAATTAAATTAAGTTCTATTTAATGTCTTACTGTGCCATAGGGAACTAGAATTCATTCATCTTTGAGAATCCCCTTAGGACTTGAGAGACATTAATACACAGAGCACAAATATATTTCACTTAGGATACATTTTGAAATTTATGTAAGAAAAAAACATGGCAGCCTCTTTTGGGAAGGTGCCAATCAGATTAAAAACAAAACCACCTTTGAAAATCGGTATTCCAAAAACCAGATTTCACCACAATCAAAATTAGTAAGTTATTCTCCCATAAGTTGATTAACTATTACAAGTTAAATTTCTTAATTCTAAATCCAGAAGACAATGTTAATTTTACAAAAAGGAACTATATATATACCTTCTCTACTTTCTCCTCCTCTTTTTCCTTTTCTTTCTCTCGCTCATCAATTTTTTCAGAAGACAATACAACCATCGTAAGTTTTCTAACAATTTGCTTAGCTTCCACAATTTCTCGTTTGTGTTCATCCATAATGCAATTATCAGCTGGAAGAAGCTAAAAATGGTTCATTAAAGTTTCATAAAACAGCTAATACTATTTGCACATATAAAAAGCAAACACTACTCTGAATTGATAAAATTGTAAATAAGGTCTAGCCTATTAACGACCATGATTTGCCTTCAAAGTAAGTTTCTCTCCATTATTTTCTTATAATCTAACAGGGTTACGTATCTGAAATTTGTACACCTTTTAAAATCAGGTAGCAGTTCAAAGTTCCATGTCTTCTTTCTGTTAGAGGTCCTACATTAATACAGTACTACAACAGTGATGCTTACCATTGAATTTATTAGATTGCCCAAGAAAATGTATAACTGTTCCATTAAAAATATCACAGATTTCCCCTTTAAAGGTCAAATTCCAAGTTAAATAAAGTACTGCATATGGATCCAATTTGGGAAACATGAGCTACTAAATTACATGAAGGGGTAAATTTAATTCCTCTAGATGAAAAATCTCAAGTAGAAAAATTATGAGCAACTTGACATCTCACTTTTCATCTTCTAATACCTATTTGATGACTTTAGTCACAAACTAGTTTCTAGCTTATTACAAAAGGGAAAGTAATATGTGTATAGTCAACCCTCCATTATGAAAAAGGACCAAATATCTCCAGTACAGCCATCTTGTATGAGTAGAAGGTTAATGTAGATATTTCATAAAATAAATTAAAAAAAAACCCAGACACAAGGAAAAATACAGCCAACAAACCATAGTAGTTTCTGCTAGGCACTATGGTAGGCTATGAAAGAAGTGTTCCTGCCCCCAGAAATACATAATCTACTTCAGTAACTAAGTTTAATGCAAAGTAAATAATCACTAAATAAAATGAAACATAGTAAAATATTAAACTACATATTGTACACTTCATCCCATTAGTCAAAAATGGGGGCAGGAGAAAAGTCACTAGGGACTGATGGCAAGGAGTAAGCAAGACTTTTTCTCATTCTTCCTGCTATCCACTGGCCAGCAAACCCATTTTTTATTGCTTTACCTATTTACCTGCCAAAGGTCCTCATCTTTTACCTAGATGCAACTGCCTCTAAAAAAATCTCCCATTATAATGAATAAACTATGTTTCTTCTCTTTTTTATTATTTTAAGTAATCTCTTCACCCAACATGGGGCTCAAACTCACATCCTGGAGATCAAGAGTTGCACACTCTACCAACTGGGCCAGCCAGGCACCCCTGTATGTTTCTTTTATAGTTCCTCTCAATTCTAGTTTTGTGTATTTTGAGAATATTAAGTGCATATAAAGTTACAAATGTTTTATCTTCCTGTGAACACAACTTTATTTACTATGAAGTTACTATCATTTTTTGCCAAAAAGTCCATTTTGTCTAACAATAATAATTTCCCTGGTATATTTTTCCCACCCATTTACTTTCAACCTTCCTTTGTCCTTAGGTTTTAGAAGTCTCATGTGAAAAATAAACAATAAACTGGTTTTTAATCCCATCTGAAAATCTCTGACAACAGGAACACTTAGGCCACTTGCATTTACTGTTAAACTCAAACATTTCAGTAATAAATCTATCATCATCTATCATCTTTCCATTTGTCCCACCAGTCTATACTTACCTATAAACTCATACCTGTCTTTGAATTCCCCTTTTTCTGACCAATTTTCCATGTTCTCAGTTTGTAACATCACTTTTCTACTTTAAATCTTGAATGGCTCTCTACTCCCAACAAGAAAAAATTCAAACTCCTTACTATGGCACTTAAGGCCCTGCAATGTTTAGCCCCAATCTACTTCTCCATCTTCATCACCCCACATACTAGCCTAGGCTCCAACCACTCTGAACTTCCTGATGTTCCCCTAAGGCGATAATGAAGCCCCTCCAATCCTTTTGCCTTTATACTCAGTTAATTCTACCTACAAAACTTCCCACCTTTAAAGCCAGGCCATTACCATCTCATCTACCAACATCTCAGTTCAACATCACTAGTTTGAAAAAGCCTTCCAAAATCCCCCCCAGACAAACATGGTCACTATCTATTCTGAGCCCCCACAGCATTTTGTGAATACCTCGAATAGAGTAGTTACTATATAATGCAAAATGTTTTCTCCATTGCTAAACTATGACTGCTTCCAAGGTAGAGACTAAGTTTTATTCAACTCTGTAACCATATATATGAGAGAAAAAGTGATTTCAAAGACAATGAAGATGATATCAGCTGTGGACAGGTTTAAGTCCATAGATGTCCAAATGTACAACCAAATAAAATAGGAATTTCTATACTACAACTAGTTTTTTCAAACTGACAGGATAAACTGTTGCTAAACTAGAGGTCATTAATCACAATCACATATACACTCTTCTAGATCCTGGATCCAGCAATAAAAGCACAATACTAGTCATTTACTACCCAGTAAAAACACAAGAAAAGCCATTAAAAAATACACAGACTTGCCCCATTCATCCTGAATGCCTAAAATTAACATTTTGGGGAGAAGGAAAAAGTATCTAGGTAATCCCATATTTCTGATAATTTGCATATAACACGGAAGTCTAAAACCACATTGGTTAAAACTTGGCCTCTCTCCCCATGAGATATACCTTGCTGACAATTAAGAACTTTAACTTCATATCCAATCTCAAACTCTGTAAGAGTGATGGAGGGTATTTAATTTCCATAGTTTGTCAAAGAATTAAATTCATTCACTTCATAAAGTAAACACAAAGCAATAATGCATTAGGGCTTCAAAAATTAAAACTTGAGAGCCTGACCAACCTTGAAGTGCTATATGGCTGCCTACTCCTCTTCCCACCCCTGGGATGGACAACCAAATATTCTTAGCAGCCCACTTGACTTACATGTACATAAAGATCATCTAAATCAATAAGATTAAACTGTAGAAGTACTGCTGCAACTCTGTATAAAGATGAAGGAGTCTCTCCATTTGGTTCCTTGAAAAACAAAAAAAGTTTCTATTTAGTGCATAAAGTAAAACTAAAATCATATCCTTTACCTACCAATAATCAAGAATCTAATAACTAGATCAACAATAAGCTTCACTGCTCTTCCTGATCATACATGACATCTGAACTGAGGACAAAGATAATTAGGTCAACATCCCTTTTCACACTGGAACATATTCTGATGAACACAAAGTTTCAAAAATGGACACATTTTACAGTGCATGCTAATATTTCAACAAAATCTGAAAATCAAATAGAGTAAGTGAGATTTTATACTGCATAATACTTAGTTTTGGGTTTTGTTTGTATGTGTGTTTTCTTAACTTGCTTTTTCAAGTAGTTCTCAGTGGAGATGCAGACAGACAAGAGTGACAAATTTGGAAGTGCTGAACTATCTGTGTCTACTTTATACTTTTCCCCCTACTCTTTTACTTCTTGGGTTTTGTGCTAAATATATCTGCTTGTCAACTGATTTCCCCCTTCAAAACGGGTGTCTATACATATTACACATGGATAAATCAACATTTTAAAATACATAATGGCCAATTCCAGGGAACCTTCACAGAAACAGAAGGATCTTTGAATCAAGAAGACTTTTCCTCTAATTTTTAAACTGTTTGGGATCAGCTGAATGGAAGACTGAAGTCATGACAACTGGCAATTACTAAATGGCCAAATGCGAATAAAAAGCGAACAGTGACAATACATTATGTTCCGCTCCTACTCAACACTGTAAACAGGATCTTTGTAAGGTTCCCCACAATTGTAATAGGTGTTATGGATATAACACAGGAGGCTAACCAAACTAATGGATATCCTATAAAGAAGGCACTGTTCACTGTATTTCTTAAGACAGGTAAATCTTCCACTTCACAATAGTTTAATTCTAAATGTATATAAATGGTTATTTAGTATCAAAACATTTTCCTATAAAAACAAATGGTGGTCAAGGTCTCAGAGCAAACCCACAAAAGCTTATTATCTGACTTGAATCCACCAGGCACACACTCATTATTCCCATTATCTCTGTTACAATGAGTCCACCACAGGAAGCCCTTGACTCCCAGGCCAAACATAAACTCCCATACTCTGATCTTCATATTGCTCTGTACAATCCCTGTTCTGTCCTAAACCACCTTTCTGCATTCTTGAAAAAGTTCCATGGACTCCTCTGGAATTCATAATCCCATCCTCAGCAAAACCCCCTATATATCCTGAACTTCTCCTCTAACTGTTCCCTTCACTTTCTTGCTCAAACAGAGCCTAAGACTCCCTAGGAATACCACTCTCACTGTAACCCAGTCAAGTGGTGGCTCTTTTCCCCAGACCCCTCACACTACTAGGCCTGGAGGTGGGTTATGAGTCATCTTTGCTTTTTATAGTTGTTTTCAGACTATTCTCCCTCCACCCTCCCCTAAAGCCCACCCAGCTTTGAATTTCCAATTGCTCACTATCCCTCACTATTGCTGTGATCTAGTTTCATTCCATTGTGGTCAAAGAAAATATTTTGTAGGATTTCAATGTTATAAATTTATTGAGACATACTTTGTGGTCAAAGATAGGGTCTATCCTGGAGAACGTCCCATGCACACTTGAGAAGAATACGTAATCTACTGTTGCTAGCTAGGTACTGTTATATGTATGTCTGTTAAGTCTAATTGGTTTATAGTGGCTGTTCAAGTCCTCTATTTCCTTTTGTCTAGTTGTTCTATCCATTAATGAGAGTGGGGTATGGAAATGTCCAACAATTATTGCAGAACTATTTCTCCTTGCAATCCTGTTAATGTATGCTTCATATATTTTGAGGCTCTGTTTGGTGCAAATGTGTTTGTAACTGTTTTCTTTTCTTCATGGGTTGACCCTTTTATCAATATATAATGTCCTTTGCTGTCTATTGTAAAAATTTGTCTTAAAGTCTATTTTGTCTGATATTAGAATAGCCACCCCAGCTCTCTCATGGATACTATTCGCATAGGATTTTCCACTTTGAACATATTTCTATCTTTGGATCTAAAAGTGAGTTGCTTATAGACAGCATATAGTTGAATCATGTTTTATACATTCTGCCAAACTGCCTTTTGATTACAAATTTTAATCCATTTACATTTAAAGTAATAACTGACAAGGAAGGACTTCTGCCATTTTTCTATTTGTTTTCTACAGGTCTAATATATATATATATATTTTTGCTGTTGTTGTTCCTCATTCCTTCCATTAGTGCCTTCTTTTGTGTTTGATTTTTTGTGTGTGCCCTTTTGATTCCCTTCTTTCCTTTTCTATTTTTTTAGTTATTTTCCTAGTGGTTACCCTGGGTATTGCAAGTGATATTTTAAACATAATAATCTAGTTTGAACTAATACCAATTTAGCTTCAATAGTATATAAAAACTCTGTACCTATACACCGCAATCCCTCCCCCTTTTATACTGTTATACTGTTTGCCAAAGAGATTTATAATTATTGTTTTATTACTTTGTCTTTTAAATCTTGTAAGAAAAAAGGAACTACAAACCAAAAAAATACAGTAATGTTGGCTTTTATATTTACCTATATAGTTACCTTTACCAGTGTTCTTTATTTCTTCATACAGCTTCAAGTTATTGTCTAGTGTCCTTTCATTTCAGCCCAAAGGACTCTCTTCAGCATTTCTTGTAAGGTCTACTAGTGACAAATTCCCCCAACTTTTGTTTATCTTGGAATGTCATAAACTACCATTTTTGAAGGATAGTTTTACTACAGAATTCTTTGACAGTTTTGTTCTTTCAGCACTTTATGCCATCCTACTGCCTTCTGAAGAGAAATCACCTGTTAATCTTATTGAGGATCTTTTGTATGCAATAGGTCACATCTGTTTTGCTGCTTTCAAAATTCTTTGTCTTTCAACAATCTGAGTATAATGTGTTTTGGTGTGGCTCTCTTTGAGTTTATCCACTTAAGTGTTTGTGGAGCTTCTTAGATGTGTAGATTCACATCTTTCATCAAATTTGGGACGTTTTCAACCATTATTTTTTTTTCAAACATTACTTTCTGTCCCTTTCTCTCCTCTGCTTCTAGGAATCTAATGTACATATTGATTTTGGATGGTGTCCTATAGTCTTAGACTCTGTTCATTTTTCTTCATTCTTTTCTCTTTCTGCTCCTCATACTGGATAACCTCAATTGGCTCATCAAGTTGGCTGTTTCTTCAGCCTTCTCAAATCTGTTATAACCCTCTAGTGAATTTTTCATTTCAGTTATCATACTTTTTGACTCCAGAATGTTTGGTTCCTTTGTTCGTAATTTGTATTCCTTTTTTGATATTCTGCCTGACCTCCTTTAGCTCTTTGCCCATGGTTTCCTATATAGATCATAAGCATATTTAGGACTGGTGATTTAAATTATCTAATAAGTCCATCACCTGGGTTTGCTCAGGGATAGTTTCTATTTTCTTGTGAATGAGCCATACTATGTTTCACTGCATACCTCATTATCTCTTGTTGAAAACTGGATACTTTGAATATTATGTGGCAACTCTGAAAATCAAATTCTGCCCCATCTTTGGGGTTTGTTGATGCTTATTGTGGGTTACTGCTGTTTGCTTGTTTAGTGACATTTTTGTGAAGTCTATATTATTGTCATGTGCGGTCACTGAAATCTGTGTTCTGTTAGCGGAGTGGTCAGCTAATGTTTTGAGTTTTCTTAAAGGCCTGAAGCCAGGAAAAAAAAAGGAAGAAAAAAAAGAGAAAAAAAACCACTCTCCCAGTCTTTGCATACTAGCTCTGTGTTTGGGCATGCTTCAACACTTGGCCAGGTCATTTACAATTCTTTCTTAAGTCTTCACTTCCTGCTTGTGCAGAGCCTGAAGGCCAGCCAGAGGAAAAAGCCTAGGATCTTCTCAGTCCTTTTCTGAGTAGGTATCCAGTTCTGGGCATAAGCACGGCCTTTTGTTCCAATTCCCTGGTACATGCTATTCCCCCGTATTATCTCCTTATCAACCTTCTTTTTTCCCAGGCTTTCAGTCTCTCTATTGCTCTTCTAACTGTTGTCTCTCACTCCAAGCTGCTAAAGCCAGTAGTTGTGCCTTAGAATCCTTTTGGCAAAAGCCACCCCAGCTCTGGAGATGCTCCTAATCAGGCAAAACAAAAACAGGCCCTTGCACAAGTCCTTCAGGGAACAGAGAGATCGCAATCCACAATTCTTTATGTCCTCTGGCATTAGCAATCTACACTAGGAGTGCAGACTTCTATCTTCATGGCCATCATCAATCTGCGTGTGAGGCAATTTATAACATCACAGTGCTCTCTTCCCCAAAGCAGCAGCTTCTTTCTTCACCCAGCCTTTCCTTGACTGTTGTAAGTTTTTTACTAAATTCCAGAATTCTGTAAAAGTTGATTGACAGTTTTTGCCAGTTCATTAGTTGCTTTTATGGAGGTACAGAGCTCTGGAGTTCCCTACTCTGCCATTTTCAGTCATGTCCTAGTGTTGCCACCTATGGACTCCTGGGTCACTGCCCTTCATTTAGCAATGATCTTATAGCTTCTGATTCACTGTCATTCCATCCAACTCTATCCTTTTTTAATTGTTGGAGATTTTCATATATATGTAAGTGATACTTCCATCATGCTGACCTCTTGGCTCCTGGAACTCCTCTCTTCCAAAGATCTTCTCCTCTACCCCATTTGAGCCATTCACTCCATATCCTAAACTTTAGTATTACCAATACCTACAAACCCTCCAAAATGTCGATTTCACATATCTACCCTCAAATGGATCCTTAATCCTGCTGGACAGTCATCTCTATTTCTCTCATTCATTCACTCTCCTACTCTCCTATATAACTATTTCCTACCTTCTTTACTAACCTCTCCTAACCTCCAATACCTCCTCTCTCAGCTGATGACCTTATTTTCTATTTTGGCAAGAAAACTGGAGCAATCAAAATTTCTACAAACTCTCACCATCACATCCATCCACCTACCAACAGCTGTACCTACACATGCTGCTACCTTT